CAATTTTATGAGAAATGCTAGAAAGGACATTGTAAGATTGATCTAATTTGTGCATGTGTTTGGTGGAATGTACCAAGGGAGCTTTGAGTGCAAGCACGAGCTCACTCTTTGAGGAGATCCTAGGTATCTAAGAGTGGACAGACCAGAGATTTAATTTCTCTTCTTATCTTTACTAGTGTTGTTGCTTGGGAATTGTGGTACTCTTGTCAATACAGGGAGAAGGTCTTTTCTTTCAAAGCAGCAGCACAATAAAAGACAGCAAAACCTGACCTCATTTGTTGATAGCAGTGCTGAGATGAACTGCAGCTCTGACCTAATTCTCCAGCATTACAATTATCTGCTGTAATGGGACCACTTTACTTTTCAAATCCAGGATTATAGTACTTTGAGATTTAGAGAAGTTACTCCTTTCTCATTTCAGGCCTTGTTATTTCAGAGACAAGCTAGCATGAAAAATGAGTGAATGAATGGAACAAGCATGTGGTCAGCTCATCATCCTGACATTCACGAGAATGTATTTTTAATATATAGATGTATACACAAACATAGTTTTGTTCATTTATGTGCACAGTTCCTATATATAAATAAGTATAAATATAGTGTACCTTCTCAGAATGATCCAAACTGAGATCATATCATGAGGAATCTGGGTTTTGTTAATTTGAGTGGCAGATGTGCAAGGTGATGGGCATCTCTACATAACAGAGGAACTCTAAATATAAAAGAATTTAGAAATAAAGTTCTTACATTTTCAGTACTCAAGCTGTTGGTGATAGAAGTTGACATAATTGCCTTAAAGTTCATTTAATACCTTTTTTAATCAATGGAAGGAAACTGAATATATTATGAACTGGTATTTGATATTTATAATATAACATTAATCTTTTTTTCCTCATTATTAGCAGTATATCCAGTCTCACAAAACAAACTTTCTTTCCCAAGTTTCCTATTTATCTATATTACAAAAATGAATGGAAAATGTTGTTACGTTTTCATCAAGTCAGTTTTCCTTAGTAGATTTTCAATCTTCAAGACATATCATTCATGTTTGTTGTTTTTTTCCACTTGGAATGCTATTCATAGCATCCACTGCAATACTGAGCTGGTAACAGACACTGAGTGCTGCTAAGCCCAGCCATGCAGAAATCATGAATCAGATTCTCACTAAGCATATGATCAGCTCAAACTCTGTTTTCAGGACAAATTATAAATAAATAATAAATCATTTATCTTCTGCTTTTTGATACATTGTAAGCTCTACCCCAACTCAGAAGCAGTGATAAAATTCTTAAAATCACCATTCTTACACAGTCATATATCAACTGTTATAAACTTAACTCTCTAGTTTCAGCAATTTAATATGGTATTCATTTAGGCAGTTCATTCTACAAACATTGGACTTATTCTATCCAATGAATTTATTCTGTCTGCCTTCAGTTTGGATGGAAAAAAACGAAAACAGAAAGCCCTGTTTTGGTCACAAACTTACTCTATGCAAGGTGATCAAATAAAATGGTTGTTCAGGGCTTGTTTTTGCCCTGTTGCCTTTCATCCTTGTCAGGAAGATGCTAGAAGCACCATCCACAGAATACATGAATTTTAAAGAGTGAAAGCCTTTTAAGGTTTGCAGAAGGCTGAGTTCAAGCAAGGATAAGAAAGTAAACTATAACTTGAGTTCTTCTTAGTAAGGGGCCTCATTTGTTTTTGATTCCTATGTGAAGACATTAAGTTTTGCTGCAAGGGGAATGGTACTCAATGCAGTTTTGAGGAAGACATTTATGGCTCCATCCCTGGAGGGCTGACATGCAGGCTAAGCATCTGCTAGCTTCAGCTAAATATGCAGGAGAGAATAAAAGTATTTGGAAGAGCATTAGAATGAACCTTGGCCAAGGCAGCTGAGAAGGATGAAATATTGCTGCTGTTATTTAAATTACTTAAAGAAATTTAAATCTTCTCCTGTCCTTCTCCATCAAGGTAGCAAAGAAGAGATTCAGATTCCACTAATGGAAAGTTTTAGAATAGAAGGGATCGAGAGACACTGCCATAGTTTGCTCAAAAATGAGACAGAACATTTTCATTATTCCTAAAGGCTTTTATTCAAGACATAGAGAAGGTGGGTACATTTAAAGCGAAAACATATTTTTGCTATAAAAATGAGAAGGTATGTGAAAATCTCCGCACTAACTATAAAAACAAAGCAAACATTTCCCTTATAGTCTGAACAAAACAACTGAGAAAATATATCAGAAAAGGTAAATGAATACAGAATTATCTATTCAGTTTTGGTTCTCATCTCTCTGGGGTATTTCATTTACTCTTTGAATCTTATCGATCTTAGCAGCAATAGTACATGTTTCCTAGGAAGGAGTGATCTATCATTTTATTCTTACACATTAATACATTAAGATATCTTCCACTATATAATCATTGGCATATTTTTTAGTGTTTATTGTCATAATAAATTACTTTTTTCCCCAGTAAAATAGTTACTATCAAGGTCAAGACTACTTATAAATATATCTAATATTTAGTAATCATTCACCTTGTATTCAAACAAAAGACTTAAAAACATCATCAGAGATCTTGATGCTGGGACGATTGCAGTTTTCCTAAAGATTTCATGATAGATTACAGTTTCAATTAGAAGAAATGCACCTTTAATCTGATCATCCAGTTGGGCCAAGCTGGAAGCACTCAGAAATACAACAGACCCTCCTGTCTAGCCACTCTATAGACTGTGATTCCAGCTGGATACACTGTGTACACAGTGTACGCTTTTCATGAATCCAGGTAAAAACACAAATATCAAAACGAAGGTTGCCGAGAGGGTGAAGGGTAACAACCATTTTATTTGATCACCTTGCATAGAGTAGGTTTGTCCTGTAACAGGACACATCTTTTCAAGTGTCAATACCTCAGAAGCATCACTGATTTCCAAGTCAGATAGGGCTTAATCTGAGCTAAATTTCACCCACAAATCTGTTGTTTCATATCTGCTTTAAACCATAGTTTTCTAGAGTTGTGCTTGGGATACTTCTATTACCTGTAGTGTATTAATTTGCTCATTGAGGTTGTGAATTGCCTGGTGAAGTTGTGGATGCCCCCTCCCTGGAAGCACTCAAGGCCAGGCTGGATGGGGCTTTCAGCAACCTGGTCTAGAGGGAGGTATCCCTACCTATAGAAGGGGGTTGTAACCAGATGATTTTAATGGTCCCTTCCAACCCAAACAATCTGTAATTCTATGATTCTGTGCAGGACAGACAGGTGAAAATGTATGTATCCATTTGTACAAACATTATGTAAGAACTAATTCTGTTTTACACAGTGCAGTGTTTTGGAGTATGAAATTTTAACCAAAATAGGAAAAAAAATGCTATTAACAGTGGAACTGGTCAGGTTTTAAATGGCAAATGCTGACTAAAACCAAGTATGTTTGAAGTCTGAAGCGTGTGTCCCTGTTCTCATTTCTTCCCTGGTAGCTCAAATGGTAGTTCTTAAAGAAGAGGAAAGAAAATTGTGTTCACCATCTGTTATCTGACATTTGAGAAAAAGTCATTGTTTGACCAGTAATGAGATGGTTAGCAGCATTTGGGCTATAAATCATTAATTTGCAAAGCTGGTGTATTTTTAAAGGCAAAACAGATAATGCCCTATATAGAAATGACCACATCACCCAAAACACAGAGCCTCATCCAAGCATTAAAATGCAAAACAGATGGAGGAAATGTTTCGAGGGAATATACATGGGAGTGGGGGGTGAAATTGTGAAATATAAGGAAAAAAAACTCTGCCAAACTCAACAGGACTGTAGAAAGCGTTAATAACCCAGGGATTATCTTTTCCAAAACTATATAAAAGATTCTAGGAACTGTGAAGAGAGACATTCTCCTAACATAAGCGTCTAATCAGGAAATACCATTTACCAACATGAGATTATCCCTGAAAGATGAAATCTGAAAAGATTTCTCATCCTAGTTGCATCAACTTTCTAAGGATCAAGTTTAGAAAAAACACCCTGAAGCTGACATGACAGCTTCACAGAGTAACCAAAATGAAAAGCGAACAAACAAACAACAACAAGAAAAAAAAACAAAAACAGATGTTCTGTATTGTGGAAGATTTCATGTTAATGAACCATATGAATTATATAAGCAAAGGATGGAGGGGGAAAAAAAAAAGATCATTTGAAGGCCACGAGCTAGATCACAAACATGCTAGCCACTGTGAAAATGTGGGGCATTAACAAGCTCCTACTCCATAGAGTTTAAGCTGTAAATAGAAATCAGGTGGTGAAAGTGGCTGAATACACTCAAGGAGGAGTGTTGTAGAAGTAAAACTAATAGGCATTCATGATTGTTTCCTTAGCTCCTAGGCAGTTTACCTGGGAGGAGATTATGCAACAAAATAAAGTGAGAAAAAATAAAGAGTGGGACTGAGATCACCACTAGGGGTTGAAAGTATGGAACAGGAGCAGTGAGAAAAGACAGAGTACTGCATAACAGAGCAAGACTGAAGGGGCTGCCTACATCCTGGCTTGTCCATGCGTGCAGCTATTCCTGGGGCTTAGCCCTCTATGGCTTCAGCTTCGGGTTTTTCCAGGGGCTTATGATGAAGATGACAACAAAGATGCTATCTGAATCCAACTTGGTTTGAATGGTGTGTTGTATAACCAAGATGTTATAATTGCAATATAATCAAAAGAGTAAGGC